GGTGGGGGCGGCAGTGAAAGGAAGCATTGTAACAGTTGTTTGTGACGACGCATGACTTTGAGGCAGCGAGCCTTGGACAATAAAAAGCGGGAATAGGCATTGTGGCTGTCCGCCACTGATCCATGTAACCTGATCAACAGGACCAGGAGAAGGTTCGGATGCACAATGAAGAAGCCAGAAAATGCGGCCTATCCTTGCTTTCGAGGGAAATAAGTGAAGGGTTTGAGAAAATTAGGCTTATGGACATTACCAGCAAGGACAAAGGAAATTAAAATCGTTATTATTGGCTTATTAACTGTTATCAGCCAGCCATATCCAACTCCAGATTGTGCCTCATCTGAGGCTCGATCCCAAGACCTGTCGCCTAGAAGTCCAACGGTCTAACCACCGGGCCATGGGTTCTTTACTTTGCCGGTTTCGGTCGATAGTGTGACTCCTAATAAGCTAGAAAGGGCAATTTCACTATCTCCAATTTTGATCGGGAATTTAAACAATGGTAGGTTGGCACTCACTTCTCCCGTTTTGCCTCGAGGCCTTCTTTTTCATAAGTGAATGCTTAACTCTGGGTGAACCTGATTTGATTTATCCATGCGGGTGTCCAAATGAAGCTTTTTATCCGCTATTGTAAAGTTGTCATCAAGATGTCGCGCACAAGCATAAAAGTCCTTTAAAATTGTACAGATTTGATTGTTCACGCGTTTTCGTATAAGGAAGTCAGCCAGTAGAGATAAAAGGAGCGATCCCATCACCACTCCCTCTGCCTGGAGGTAAAATTGGTTACCTATCCTCCCGGCACCCATCTAAATAATCGGAAGTGTAAGTTTCACGCAACTGACTTTTTAAAATAATGATTTATATTATACAAGACGCACCAGCCGAATATTAGGAAACACGTAATAATTCGAGGGCAGTGTTGAGAGACTTCAACTGTTTGAGTGTTGGACCCGATCAACATAAACGGTACGGTCGGATCAATGGTGGATCGGTCGACGTGACTGTCCAACCATCATTCTCTCACATCGTCCTCCCTCTAAAAATCCTAGAGACGGACTCATATGTACTCGCAAACCAGATTGATTCATCAGAGTGGATAACCTCTAGCATTGGGCACAGCAGGAAAGCGCTGTATCCTCGTTTTTAAAATCTGAATTAACTCATAAGAAACTAACAGAAAACTGGTGGTCCATATAATGTCTTTTTTTTCATTTCCAGTCAACGCCAATACGACCATATCCTTCAGAGGCTACATGCCGCGCGGCAATTCCACCTTCACTCTGTTCAACTCCGACTCGATCCTAAACGCGACGAGATTAGCAACGGTTACTTTCATCTGGACGACAGCAACCACCAGCACCACCACCACTATGGCACCCAATGTAACCGAACCCGTGACCCCTTCGCCAAAGCCGCCTACTAATGTGACCGAGCCTGAAAAGCCGACGCCCATGACCACGACGTCAACATCAACGGCAACGTCCACGACGTCAACATCGACATCGACAACGACTTCACCGACGCCAACGACGCCGCCGATGCCCATGCCTGCTGTATCGGTCTCTATGGAAATAACAGGCAACAAAACAAAAACGGTGGCGGAATTAACAGCTGCAAGCATGCGACCGAACTCGACTCAGACGACTTCGTATGCAATGACCAGCGAAAAAGTAGGAGCAGAT